GTTTGCCTGCGCGAATGGTTCTTTACTTCGACAAGTATAAGAATCCCAACGGACGAGCTGGAAAAAATTCTGTCAATTTCTTTTTGACGCTAACTTTATTGGCTTTTATCGCTTTTTTCATGTTGATTGGTAATACCAAACTCAACGGGAATTACAAGGATTCTACCAATGATGTTCGTATTTCTTCACTTCCTGGAATTCGCGAGTTATACGCCGAAGAAGCAAACAAATTCAAAAGGGAATTTCACAAGTTAACGCTTCAAGCTACGAAGAAGGTACTCTCGCATCCTTATGAACTTGTTCGTTATGGTGTTGGCGTCGAAATCAATATAAACTACAAATGGAAGCAACTTCATTGTAATAAAAAAACTTCCATTTTTAAAAATGGAGTTTGCGCCGTGGAGAAGTCGAAAAAGGCTAAAAGAAGCGCAAATCAGCATAATAAATTCAATCGAACCATAGAATATTAGTGTTATTTGGCATCTTCATTCATTTAATAATACAGAAAGCCTTTAGACATCGAGTTTTGTATTTACAATTTTGCAAACTTCATAACACTTGCTTTGTTTGCGCCGATACCTCACATCCACTCATTTCTTTCGGTAGTTACTGACAATATAATGTTCAACTATTAATGAAAACATCTCTTGTACTCTTTCTCTAATGTGAGACCAAAACTCATTTAGAACAATAAAAGTGTTTATTCAGATTTTGAACTTCCATCTTCCCCACCATCAGATCGATTTTCTGCCTCTCTCTAAATTTGCAAAATAGAATTAGCATGACGACAATCGATAGTGAAAGAGATCAGAAAGTACATTGCGCGTGATTCTAACCTTTTTGTATACCATTTCAAACAACTTTAAGCTTGCGTTTTGTACTTCGCCAATTTTATTATTGATTTCGTCAACCTTGACGAATTCGCCAGCCTGTGCTCTAGTCATCAGATCTCGTAAGGATTGGATCTGGGATCTAATATTTTCAGCCTCCGTTTGATCTAACTGATCTTTGAATTCATTCATGCTTTTTTCGATGTCGCTAATTGTAGCCTCGGCACGATTGGATGCCTCAATGGTTTCTTTCTTTTCGCGATCCGCTTCGGCGTGACGTTCGGCTTCGAAAATCATATTTTGAATTTCGTCCTTGCTTAACCCAGATGAGGCAGCGAGGGTAACTTTCAAGATGACAGGATGTGAAACAAATGTGGTTATATGATGATATAACTATATGTAAACCTAAGGGTATTTTATTTATTCGTACTTACTAGATTGATCTTTCCCCGTTGCTATATCCCGTGCTGCAACGTTTACTATACCATCCGCATCGATGTCGAATGTGACTTCGATTTGTGGAACTCCTTTGGGCAATGGCGGAATACCACCCAATTGAAAATTACCGAGTAACTTATTATCTCGGACCAATTCCCGTTCTCCTTGATATACTTTGATTTCCACTTTTGTCTGACCGTCAGCGGCCGTTGAAAACACTTGTGATTTCTTTGTTGGAATGGTGGTGTTTCGATTGATAAGTCGTGAAAACACACCGCCGAGTGTCTCAATGCCAAGTGATAATGGCGTAACATCCAGGAGCAAAATGTCCGTTACTTCACCAGCCAACACACCACCCTAATACAGATTTCTTTATATAAAAAATATCATTCAAAGAGAAGACCTCACGATAAATTAATAAAATTCACCTGAATCGCTGCTCCAATGGCCACGGCTTCGTCTGGGTTTACACTCTTGGTAGGTTCGCGTTTGAAAATCGATTTCACCGTTTCGGTGACTAAAGGCATGCGAGTCATACCACCAACCAATATAACTTCACCGATTTCATTAACGTCAATGTTGGCATCCTTCAAAGCAGATTTGCATGGTTGTACCGT